AATAAAAAGACAAAAAACCCAATTGAAAAATGGGCAAAGAACTTGAATAGACATTTCTCCACGGAAGATATACAAATGGCCAATAAAAACATCAAAAGATGTTCCACATCATTAGTCATTAGGGAAACACAAATCAAAACCACAATGAGATACAACTTCATGCCCACTGGGGTGGCTATAATAGAAAAAGAAAAGAGAAAGAGAAAAATAAGTGTTAGTGAGAACATGGAGAAACTGGAACCCAAAAAAAAAAGACGAACCAGAGCAAGTGTTGGTAAGGATGTGGAGAAACTGGAACCCAAATATATTGTGGGCTGGAATGTAAAATGGTGCAGCTACTGTGGAAAACAGTTCAGGAGTTCCTCAAAAAGTTAAACATAGAGTTACTATATGACCTGGCAATTCTACTCCTGGGTATACCCAAAGAATTGAAAACAGGTGTTCAAATAAACACTTATAATGAATGTTCATAGCAGTGCTATTCACAATAGCCAAAAAGTGGAAACAGTATAAATGTCCATCAACGGATGAATGGATAAACAAAATGTAGACTATCCACAGAATGAAATATTATCCAACCATAAAAAGAAATGACGTACTGATGGATACTGCAACATGGATGACCCTTGAAAACATTATGCTATGCTAAAGAAGCCTGACACAAAGGGCTACATGTTGTATGATTCCATTTATAGGAATATCCAGTATAGGCAAATAAACAGCAGCTTGGTGGTTTGCCAGGATCTGGCAGAAGGAGGAAATCGGGAGTGATTGCTTACTGGGTATGAGCTTTCTTCTTGGGGCAATGAAAATGTTCTGGAGCTAGACAGTGGCAATAGTTGCATAATACCGTGGATGTACTAAAAGCCGCTGAATTATACATTTAAAATGGTTAAAATAGTGAATGTTATGTGAAATTTACCTCAATAAAAATAAAATTCTATTTCTCTTTCACATAAAATAGTACCTGAAGACATTTTTACATCTTGAGATTTTTCTCTTAGGAGTAGGAGCAACAAGTCACTAATATTAACTTTGGACTTTACAAAACACTTTGCCATACAATCTTATATAATCTTCACAACCCATGAGGTAGATATTATCAGTCCACCTTAGAGATAAGAAAAACTGAGGCTCAGAGAGGTATAAAGAAAGTCATATAGCTAGGAGGTGAGAGAGCTCACTAATCAAGCCAGATTGGTCTGACTCCACTGTATTACACTGCCTCCAAGGCAAAGAGCTCCAACTTCCGATAATCTTGAAAAAGGATAGCAGATGCCACAGCGTAGAGGCATGTTGGGCAATTTTTCTTCTTTTAACTAAAGCAGTAAAAATGTTCATTAATAAAAGTTTTAACAAGGGCTGGCTCCATGGCTTAGCGGTTAAGTGCGCGTGCTCCGCTACTGGCAGCCCGGGTTCAGATCCCAGGCGCGCACCGACGCACCGCTTCTCTGGCCATGCTGAGGCCGCATCCCACATACAGCAACTAGAAGGATGTGCAACTATGACATA